CTTCTCCTCCCCCACCCACCCGGGCTGCCTCCTCGCTGACAATATGACCACTTGTTGCTTTATTGTACATGGCATGGCTAAGACCTGTGTCAGCTGCATGATTCTGAGTGATGTTTGGTAAAAATGTATATAGAACGAATGTCAGACATTTCCGTATAAATAAAACTTGGGCTTTGATGAGAAAGTTTGAGCAAACAGCGCACTAAAAGGGTGTTCTCTGTTAGCGACAAAATAAAAACATTTCCGTGAAAATTTGAAAAATTCAAAAGGTCGGTGAAGTCGTTTGATCCGTTGTGGGTCAGTTAAAATTTTTTTTTTTTTAAATCCGAGAGATATTAAGGCTTTTCTTTACCTGGGAAAGGCGATCTTAGTTCGTTTTTCTTGTTTTAGTAGAGGTTTTACGGCGCTCGATCTTAGTTCAAAACTCTACTGGTGTGTTGATTTACTGAGAAAACCACGAGGTTCTCAACACTACGTTACACAAATGTTTTAGAAACAACAGCTGACGTGCGCTTAGTGTCACAGCACAGACATGGCAGAGACTGTTTTAAAAATCACCACCACCACCACCAAAAACAACAACAGCAACAACAACAACAACAACAATAACAACAACAACAACCCCTCCAAAAAGAAACAACAAACAAACCACACCAAAAGACAAAAACAAGAACAATAAACAAACAAACAAACAAACAAACAAACAAACAAACAAACAAACAAACAAACAAACCCCAACACAAAAAAGGAAAATCTCACAAAGCCTGTCTGGCTTTCTTTCCTTTAAAGAAATACAAACCTTGGAATAAACCACAGGTCCAAACATACCACAGGCTATCTGTCTGTACAGGGAAGAGTTCAGAGAAGCAGTGAAGCACATCGATACGATAACGGTCATATTGTGCAGGGAAAGGCAAGACTGTCAGACACACAAGGAAAGACAAGAAGTAGAACCAGCCAAGGGCGCCCTCCAACCACCCATAACACAGAGGGAAAAAGAAGAAGTAAGACCAGTCAGTGACACCCTCCAGCCTCCCGCTAAAGTCCCCCTATACACAAGCATGATGAACAATGTCAAAGATTTATCACTGGTGTCCGTGGTGTGGCAGTTAGGCGTGTGGTGAAGCAGTTAGGCCCTTCACTGTCGCACCCAGGAGACCCGAGTTCTATTCCCGAGTGGGGAGAATTTTATCGAGTATCTCGGGCTTTAGGGCTGGTGGATTTATTCCTCTCATCCAGCCTGGATTCCAGGGTAGGCCCAGACAGTAAGGGTCGAAGCCCGCCTCCTAAATGATCTAAACTGTGTCGATAGGGGTGTAAATATACCTATGTAAAAATAGAATAAATAAAAGAGACTTACCTTTACTTTTCTTGTGTCCGTCTGGCACTCTGTAGTGACCAGCCCTCGTGAACTGACCAGAGCTCCCCGCGTGGTACATGACGTCATCGCCGTTGGATTGGTTGGCTCCCATGTTGAGGGGACGGACTCGAACTCAAACCGCCGGTAAACCACGTCTGCTAGTCCGGCGAAGTGGAATATTTCCCTGACTGTGGCCGTTTGTGGCTCGAAATACTAGATGGATAAACTAGTCCAGCACATTCTGACAACAGTCTGGAGTCGGTTCTCGAATTTGCTCACTATACTGTACATGGAATGTTTCTGTTTATAATAATATATCACCGCCAAAGAAACAGCGGATTACTTCTGACAAAGCCGCCACAAACCATTGTTAATATTTTATATTCCTCGAAAGTCTCAGGATACGAAAAATCACAAAAGAAAATGTTTCAATAGAAGCGGAATTTCCACACGGATTGGCTATCGAGGAAAATCCTGCAGGAATGTCAAACGGGAAAATCCGACACACGCTCACTTCTTTTGTGTGTTTTTTTGGGTCTGTCAATCTGTGCAAATCATGGGTTGTGTGTGTAGAGAGGCGTCCGAACTAAACGTGAAGGAAAACAAAACGGTTAGAGGGAAAGTGTCGTACGTCTGGGATCAGCCCTGTAGAGGGCGGGGGAGGGGGGGGGGCGGGGGCTTTGACGTAATCCTAGCTTAATCCTGGTCTTATTATCGATCTGCTGTAACGGTAAAACGCCGGCTTGGCGCGTGTCTGTTTAAGCGTTTGTTTGTGTGATAAGAATGTGTGTGGTTCTGTAATTCCCCTGTACACTCCACCCTATAAGACGAAAACACGGCAACATTATCAGAGAGCTGGCCACAAGACGTGAAGAATCAGAAATATTCGAGACCGATGACTTACATAATATCTTATTTTGGAAAAAAATAAATAAAAAGAAGACCCCGCCCCACACAAAAACGAAAGTTCATGACCCCGACATTGGCAATAGCTGGAAGGTGCTCACAAAGCCGGGTAAAATGTCAGGTAAGTGTTACCTGGTGCCGGTACAGGTAATTGATACACCCACAACGGTTCAATCACGAGACCTTTCATTATCAGAGAGCTGGCCACAAGACGTGAAGAATCCGAAATCTCCGAGACCGAAGACTTACATAATATCTTATATTTTGAAATAAAAAAAATAATTTTAAAAAATAAATAAAAAAGCCTCCACAAAAACGAAAGTTCATGACTTCGACATTGACAGTAGCTGGAAGGTGCTCACAAAGCCAGGTAAAATGTCAGGTAAGTGTTACCTGGTGCCGGTACAGGTAATTGATTCACCCACAACGGTTGAATTACGAGACCTTTCATTAAAACTTCCTTCACTGGGATCCGGGCTTGCAGCCAATCACAAACTACACAATAGGGAAAACAACAAGGCATTCATACACTCCACGTTCTTTTTTCTCTGTCAATCTAATTTATTTGACCGCCCGATCCCTTTCCTAATACGCACACACACAAACACACACACAGACAAACACATACACACACACACACACACACACAAACACACACACACACACACACAAACACACACATACACACACAACCCACACATACAGACACACATTCACCCGCATATATACATACATGCACTCACTCACGCAAAC